CGATACCCACTTTTCTTTTTTTGTGTGAAGAAGATTGTCACTGAGCTGACATCTATGCCAATCTTCCTGTATTTTATGTAGGATGCTGCCACAGAGTGGCTTGACGAGTCGGTGCTAGGTCTGCACCTGGGATCCAAACCTGTGAACCCCAGGCTGCCAAAGAGGACTGCACAAATGCAACCACTATGCCACCAGGCCAGTTCCAATACCCACTGTTAATAATGGATTAGACATCTAAATAGAAGGTCAGTAAGGAAATAGAGGATTATCCAGTCCAAAAAGAACCCTCTCCTTCCAATGTCAATTGGAAAGAAAAGGAACAAGGTCACCCCTGCTACTGTAAGGACCTCTGCACTGTTTGTGGCATTGTTTATCTATTGCTGTTCAGATGTACTTTACCATGAAATGCCACAGTAGCCACCAGGACTACCCTCCTTTTAGGTCACAAGTCCAGGCTCAACCCTTGTCTTCAAATCCCACACAGTACCGGGGAGATGGACCTATGGGGCATCCAGCATCAGTTACATCCTGCACCACCAAAACATTCAGACTCTTGCCTGAGCCTAGCCTCCAGTCAGACCCCTCTTCCTCAGACAAATTTCATTTCAAGGGGCCTTTCTCCCAGCTTCTGGGCTGTGGTTAGGCACGGCCCCTTACCTTTCCTCAACAGGGTTCTCTAACCTCAAATTCAGGGAAGACAAATCAGACATCTTTCCATTCCATCCTAGAAGACCCAGTGTGAAACTGGTTTACTTCTCAGCCACCAGCTCTGTAAAACATGGAGTGAGGAAGTTTTTGCCTAATCACATAAAACGTAAAAGGTCTTATGAAACCCTAATTTCAGGAGAATGAGGAAGGTGGCTTTCTGCATTTGTACAGCTAAGAAAGCAACTCAAGTGACCCTCCACAGGATAGACGTCAGCTTCTCCAGGTTATTTTTTATATATATATTTACTTACTTATATATTTATATGTATTATTTTTCTCTCTATATTTTTTAAGTATCCTGTTATGCAACTAATTGCTAATGAGTAATGCAGACAATGAGCATTAGCAGAGTTCTGAGGTTGGGAAGATCAAAGAGATTTGGAAGCAGGAATGACATTTTGAATCTGCTAATTGGAGAGCAGGATTTTTCATCAATTTTTTACCAACACAGATTAATTTTTAAGAGAAAGTATTTTCTGGAGCAAACTCCTTTATTTTCTTAATCAATTTTCTGTTTAGCACAGCTAAACTGTTTCTAATTTGTCTTATTTTTTTATTTTAAAGAAATCATTTTCTTTGGGATAAATTCTTTCCTATTTCCTTTTTTTTCCAATGAGGATTTGCTCAATCAGTTGCATTTGTATTTGTTAACAACTGTATTGAGATATAATTCACATACCATACAATTCACCCATTTATCATGTACAATTTGATGCTTTTTAACATATTCACAGAGCTGTGCAATCAACACTACAATCAATTTTAGAACTTTTTTTTTTAATTTTAGAAAGTTTTTATCACCCTCAAAAGAAAACTTTGGCAGTCACCCCCATTCCTCCTCAGCCTTGAGCAACCACTAAGTTACTTCCGTCTTTATGGATCTTGTCATTCTGGATATTTCATTCAAATGAAACCATACAGTATGTTATCTTTTGTGGCTTCTTTCACTTAGTATAATGCTTTCAAGATTCATTCATGTTGTAGCATGTGTCAGCACTTCCTTCCTTTTTATTGCCAAATATTTCATTGTATGTATATACCACATTGAACTTATCCACTCATCAGTTGATGGGCATTTGGGTTGTTTCCACTTTTTGGCTATTATGAATAATACTGCTATGAACATCCATGTACAAGTTTTTGAGTGGACGTATGTTTTCATTTATCTTAGGTATATACCTAGGAGTGGAATTGCCCATTGATTGTGTTTGACCTTACCTAATTTCCCTGGTTAACACTCCTGCCATTGTGTTTTCTTTTATAAAAGACAGAAAGACTCACAGAGAGAGACAGAAAGAGGCTGTACCTGCTCAAGTGTCCTGTCTGAAGTTCTCAAGGACATGGCAGAATCAAATGATCTTAGGGTTGAAATGATGGGGCATCAAAGCGATTGGGTCAAAATACCCTACAAAGAAAAAGTTTACTGGAAAAAAGGTCTAACCTGAGTTAAGCTGCATATTTGAAGAGCTAGAGAGGAGGAGATAGAAGATGGCACTCCAGCAGGGGCCATAGTGCAAGCAAAGGGCTAGAGATCAGGCTGAGTGTGGAGCACTTGGGGTACAAGTGAGAGGCAGTAGAGGTGAAGCTGGAATGACCTATTGGGCATCACGGCCTCAAGGGTTTAAAGACTAAAGCTTGGGCAGAGCCACGGGAGACTATGATCTACGGACATCAGTCATATGATCAGATCAAATAGGCATGATCACAGCAATGACTGGCAGGTGCAGGGAGGATGGACCTAAGCAGGGAGACAGGTGAGACAGCAAGCCCCCATCCTTAGGAGGCTGTTGTAGCAATTCATAGCTGAGATAAGGGCTTTGAGGATAGCCAGCTAAAAGTCAGTGACTCATATAGTGATTTAGCGGGCAAAAGTGGCATTCATCATGGGGCTGGTTCCCCAAAGGACCCATGGCTAAATGCAGGGAACTCATCATTTTCCTATTATATAAATTGATTAGGTCATTCGGAGTTGAGATTGATGCCAGGGGTTTGCTGCTAATCAAGCTAGAATAACAAGCTGGAGGACAAGGCAGGTCCTCTGCCAACTGGACAAGGAGCTGATCCAGAGGCAGAGAACACTGCAGCGAAGCACTCTGTCCCTGCCCTGGGAGTCTGGGTGAAGAAAGCCACTGAGAGCTCTGGCACCACCCTCAGCTTCATCTAGAGACTCCAGAGCCAACTCCTAGAATGACACTTCTCAGGGATTCTGTCAAAGGTGACCAGTCAAGTGGAATCCAGCCCTGGAGGTCTATGGCTGGGCTGTCCTCCCTGCCAGCAGGAGCTTGTAGAGATAGGGTTAGGGGAACAGGTTGGGGTGACACCAGTGAAGAACTCAGGGGAGGCAAAGGCTTGGAGAGAGTGCTTGAAGTACATTTTGCCAATAATAACAATAGTCTGAAATGGTAATAATTTATGTTTGTATAAACCTCCCACTGTGCTCTAGAAAAAGGAGGAGGGGACTCTGCCTTCTCAGCAGTTGAGATGTTCTTCCCTTCACACAAGGGTTCCCCTGTCTCTTTCTAAGAAGATCGCTGCAAAACTAGCCACAGCCACCCAGTGCCAGGAAGCTTGGTTCTGACTATGGTGGTGGTAGTCTCTCCCCACCTGTCCCCTCCCTAACACAGAGGGGAGTGCAGTTGGCTCCATCTACAAACTGGAGCAGCATTTCTAGGAAGATCCAAGACTCCAACATGCCCTTGTTTGGGAAAATCGATGTCCCAAGTCAGACGCCTTTCAGCTTTCCAACAACTCTCCTGTTCCCCACTCCCGTGTCCATGTCGGGGCATGGGGTCAGAGGTGCCCTAGTTCCCAGGTGATGAAATGCTCAGTGAGTGAGTCCCTTCATTCAGGGACCACTTTGAGCACCATGACCCTTAGGGGACGGAGGTTACTGCCACCACTTTGGGTGGACCTTAGCTTGAGTGTGTTCTACTGTGAAGACCAAACACAGCGCGATTTGGGGTGAGGGGCCAGTTTTGCCTTTTGCCACAGTTCAGCCACCTAGGGTATCTAAGCATAGTCACCATGATTATCTTTACTTTCTGTCATCTGTGTCTCTCATCATCGTCAGGGGCCGCCTCTCCTGTGAAAGGGGGACGGACAGAGAAGGGGCTGGCAGCCGGCTGAGGACGGTTTTCCATCTGTACCAAGGGCGTTCCTCGACACAGAACTTTGTGTGCCAGGTCAAGCCGGCCTGCGGCCAGTGGAGAAGCCCCCGCGGTAGGGCGGAGCACCCACGGTGTTTCCCGGTCGTGGCAGGGTGGAGGGGGCGACAATTTCCCCCGGGCGCTCAAGAGCACCCTTCCCCCCACGGGCCTCCGGGGAGCCAGCTAGAGAACTCCTCCCACACCTCCTCTATCCGCCCTGCCGCAGCCAGGTTCTTATCCAAGCTCCCCAACCCGGGGCTAGAGGGGTCAGGGAGCTGGGGTGGCGAGAGGGGACCTAGCAGCCGGGTGGGCCTGGACGCTTCCTTCTCCCGTGGCGCCTCGATCCCCTACTAGCGCTTGACTCCTCCCCTGTCTCTATTCCGCAGCATCCCCGCCCAGGCAGCACTCTGCTTCAGCGACCGCACCTGCCTCCGGTTGGGGGCGGGGGGTACACACAAGCGGTAGAAAGGGAAACAGAGAGGGTTTGGGGAGCACAGAGCAGCAAGGTGACCGGCCTCGCCCCGCGCGGTGGACCCCCGCAGTCATAGCGCCTCCCGCCCGGGGGCTGCGGCACCGATGCGCTGTCCGCGGTGCTGACGCCGGCCGCTCGCTCAGTCGGGAGGGGGAGGAGACGCCCTCCTTCCGCGGTCGCCCCGAGCTGTGTGACCCCACCCCCACTCTTTCCCAAGCAGGATCGTTTCCCCAGAGGAACCCTCCGAGACCTGGCGCTGCGAGACCCGGATCCAGAAAGAAGAAGGGAGCGAGAGGGAACTTAAACTTCAAACTGGAGCCCGAGAACCCGGTGTCGAGGGACTCGGGTCCTGCGGCCCCCAGGCCCTGAGACCGCAGGGCACCATCAAGTTGAGCAAAGTTTGGAAGCAGCTTGAAGCTTAGGGAGGGATTCCAGAGCCCAGGCGCAGGAAGGGGCCGGACCGGGTTCCCCAGAGGGGTGGTAGCCAGCACCGCAGTCCGGACACCTGCTTCGGCGCCCCGCATTAGTGCCGCCAGAACGCCCGGGAGGCGTCGCAGCAGTCCAACTCCCCACCCCTTCCCTCCCTTCCTTACTCCCCCCCCCCCCCCCCCCCCCCCCCCCCCCCCCCCCC